TATATATATATATATATATATAATTTTCTTTCTACTATTTTCTTAAAACACATCTGAATAATTTTAAGGTCCTGATTTCGCTTCTTTACTTAATTTCTCAAATTGTCCTTGTTGGGGAAAGTGATGAAACAAAAACCTATGGATGCAACACAATCAGAAATGTTATTTCTTTTGCTAAGTTTTAATTCACAATTGTCAACAATTTTACTTACACTTACCTACTCACTTACCTTCTGCTGCTAACACTTATTTTACTTTTATCTACTTAAGTACAGTTACTTACTTATACTTATTCTTTTAAACATGTCCTTTTGGTACCTCTACATACCTATACTTAGCAACACTAAATTACAATTGCTTGATTTTACTTGCAAATGTTTCCTTGCACTTTATTATATACTTTCCAATTTGCACTTTTATACTTACTTTAACTTACTTAAACTTTAATTGTTTAAAAATAATTACCATTACTTTGGTGTATTTAGTTAAAACTATCTGCTACTAGTAATTCTTTCCCTTTAATTTCTAAAGAGTCCTTTTACTTCTGTAGTCTTAAGCACTTACCCTTAAGTAACTTATATTTATGTTCTTACTTTCACTTATTTAGTTAAACTTAGTTTTACATACTTATTTTGCAAACATTCACTCCTATTTTGCTTTTACTTACTTACACTTACTTGTTGAAACATTTCTTAATTTAGATTTACATACACCATGTTAACTTGAACTTTTAAGATTTGCCTACTTACTAATTTAAACTTAATGTATTTCATTTATTTACCATTTTACTTTACTTGCTTATAGTAACTGAAGCATCACATGCGCAACTTAAACATATGGCACAAAGAGACATCAATATTTTCAACGGTCATTATAACAGCATGTGTCCAATTATATTGTTCATAGTAAAGGTTTCTTTATTGGATGACACACTGAATCCTTTAAACTTACTCTCCCATTAATAAAATGCTTTAGGTACAGCATGTTTGGCTGAAAAATGGTGTTTGACATGTCATTGTTACACCTTACTGACCTTCCTTGTAGTCCCGTAAAAAGCCAGCACCTGGTCATTTTATCAACTTTTC